AAGCTGGGTGTATCCAGGCCTCTTTGACCTTGCCCAGCCCCCCAGAGCTGGGTGCATCCGTGTCTGACTGTTCTACCCAGCCCAGCCCACCCAGAGCTGGCTGCACCTGGGGCCCTGTCCTGCCTACCCCAGCAGCAGCTGCCTGTGTCCCCACAGCTGCGGGAGTGCGAGCTGAGCCCCGGAGTGAACCGGGACCTGACGCGCCGGGTGCGCAATGTGAACGGCATCACGCAACACAAAGCCATTGTGCGCAATGATATCAAGCTGGCGGCAAAGCTCATCCACGTCCTGGATGACCGCACCCAGCTGTGGGGTGCCAGCCCGCCCCGCGACAGCCCCTCCGGCGCGGTGAGTGCTGCCCCCTAGAGCTGGGCACAGCTGGCTCCCTTACATGCAGACTGGCCCTGCAGAGCTGGGTGCATCTGGGCCTGTTCCATCCAGCTCCCCAGAGCTGGGCATATCCAAGGCAATTCTACCCAGCCTGGCACATCCAGGTGCTGTTACACCCTGGCTAGCCCCCTAGAGCTGGCTGCATCCGGGCCTGTTCTACCCAGTTTACCCCTCCAGAGCTGGGCATACCTGGCCCCTGTTTGACCCAGCCCAACCCCCAGAGCTGGGCGTACTGAGCCATGCCCCCCCACCCCCCCCTGCCGCCCGCACAGGCGCTGCCAGCACAGAACCCCATCCTGAAGAACATCACTGACTACCTGATTGAGGAGGTGAGCGCAGAGGAGGAGGAGCTCCTGGGCCAAGGCCATGCCCCCGACGACCCACCCAAGGAGGGGAACCCCGCTGAGGTTACCGTGGAGCGTGATGAGAAGCTGCTCAAGGTGTGGGGGTGGGGGGGCTGGGCCTGGACACCCAGGTCCTCCCGGGGCAGGGGGGAAAAGATGTGATACGAGGAGCCTGGACGCCTAGGTTCTGTCCCCATCGAGGCAGGCTCAGATGCCTGGGTCTCCAGGTACCTGAGGGGGTGTGGGGAATGGATGCCAGAGGCCTGGGTTCTTTCTGCACCTTCATGGGCTGGTGGATCAGAGTTAGCCCAGACACCTGGGTTCTGTTGTGGGGAGGTTGGTGGGTGAGAGGAGGGGTGGTCCAGACTCCTGGGTTCTCCCTGTTCAGATGGGCTGGGGAGGTGGAGGGGGCTGGGAGCCTGGACACTCGGGTTCTCTCCCCACGCAAGCAGGCTGCTGGGCGGAGAGGGTGGGGAGCCCAGACACCTGGGTCCCTGCCCTGACCCCCCCCCTCTTCCTGCGGGCAGGTGCTGGACCAGCTGCTGCTCTACCTGCGCATCGTTCACTCAGTCGACTACTACAACACAGCCGAGTACGTCAATGAGGATGAGATGCCCAATCGCTGTGGCATTGTGCACGTGCGCGGGCCTCTGCCACCTAACCGCGTCACACATGGCGAAGGTAGGCCACACCTGGACACCAGGGTCCTCCTGGGGAGTCTGGGGTAGGAGAGCAGGGGGTGCTGGGAGCCCAGGTTCTCTGGGCAGGGAGTAGGTGCAGGTGGCTGGGGGCTGGTGCCCAGGGTTCAGGGTGACAGCAGGGGTGGGTGGGGAGCCTGGATGCCTGGGTTCTCTGAGAGGGGTGGAGGCTTAGTTCTGGGATGGGGGGTTTGGATGCCCAGGTTCTCCAGTGGGGAGTGGGGCTGGGGTGTGAGAGCAGGGCTTCTGAGGCCAGGACACCTGGGTCCTGTGAGTAGCAGCGGGGGCCCTGGGGGTTAGGATGCCTGAATGCTCCAGGGGAGCAGGGCTGACGGACACCTGGGTCCTGTGCTGACCATGGTGGGGGGGCAGTGGCAGAGTGGCAGAAGACGTTTGAGGAGAAGCTGGCACCGCTGCTGAGCGTGCGTGAAACACTGGCAGAGGAGGAAGCGCAGAAGATGGGGCGCAAGGACCCTGAGCAGGAGGTGGAGAAGTTTGTCACGGCCAACACGCAGGAGCTGGGCAAGGACAAATGGCTCTGTCCCCTCAGCGGCAAGAAGTTCAAGGTGGGTGGGGTTTCTTGCAGGGGCAGGGCTCAATGCTAATTACCCTTTTCTCTCCCCTGATTTTCTTCTCTAATTAAACCATCTGCTTGGATTAACCTGTTGACTGTGATTAAATCATTGGCTCCAACCCATGGGCTCTGAACCATTGGCTACAATTAACCTGTTAATTCTAATTAAACAAATGGTTCTAATTAACCCACTGGCTCTAATTAAACTATTGGCTCTAATAAACCTGTTGGTTTTAATTAAGCTATTGGTTCTAATTAAGTCATTGGTTTTAATTAAAGTATTGGCTCTAAATCACTGGCTCTAAGGCTCTAATTAAACTATTGGTTCTAACTGACTCCCTAGTTCTAATTAATCCATAAGTTTTAATTAAGGAAATGACTCTAACCCACTGACATTAATTAAACTGCTGACTCTAATGAGTCCATTGGTTTTAAACAAACAAATGGCTCTAATTTGCCTCCTTGCTCTAATAACCCATCTCACTCTAATTAATCCCCTCTTTTCACCTAATTATACCCCCTAATTACTTTTCTCCTGGTCCTGTCCAATTACCTCCTGTGCTAATTATTTCCCTCTTATTCCCCCTCCCTCTTCTCCCTGTTGTTACCCCTCCCTTTTCCTGGTTCATTATTTCTCCTTCCTCTTTCTCCTCTATTTACTTCTCTCCCTCCACCTTATTTTATGCCCTCTAATTCTCTTCCACCCCCCCACAGGGCCCTGAGTTTGTGCGCAAGCACATCTTCAACAAGCACGCGGAGAAGATTGAGGAGGTGAAGAAGGAAGTTGCCTTTTTCAACAACTTTCTGCTGGATGCCAAGCGCCCCGCACTGCCTGAGCTCAAGCCCAACCAGCCCCCGGGGCCTGGCCAGGGTGAGTGCGGGCCTGGGGCTGGGGATTGGAGCTGGGCCTAGGAGCTTTGGGTACCGCTATGGCTGGCCGGGGCCTCGGAGGGGTCAACGTCACCCCTTCTGTGTCCCCAGGTCTGGCTCCCGGGCTGCCCTACCCGCCCCAGGCACCGCAGGGCATGATGCCATATGGGCAGCCACGGCCCCCCATCCTGGGCTATGGAGGTGAGTGGTGGGGGCAGCAGGGGGTCTGTAGACCCACATCTTTGGCTTGTCATCAGTAGGGTTCAGAATGAACAAACCCATCTGCTTATAGGAGCAGGGCGGGTCTTGCACAGCTCTCCTGCCATCAGTAGTGATGAGCATATTCAGACTGAACATGCTCATCTTTTCTATGGACAGGGCACAGATACAGCCTGCTTGCCATCAGTAGGGTTCAGAGTGAACGAGTCTCTGCTTATGCAGGGGTGGGATGTGAACGACCCATCCTGTTGTCAGGAGGGTTCAGAGTGAACAACCTTATCTGCTTTTATGGGCAGGAAGGTGACTGAAACAGCCTGTCTGCCATTAGTAGGGTTCAAAGTGAACATGTCTTATATCGGCAAGGGGAAGGGGGTGTGGCAGACACATCGGTGTGATTCAGAGTGAACAAGTTTATATGACTTTTAGGCAGGGAGGGGAATGACATAGGCCATCTGCCATCAGTAAGAGTGAACAGACCAGCAAGCCTACATAGGCAGGGGAGGCCAGTGGCATCAACTGACACCTCTTGTCATCAGTAGGGCTCAGAGTGAACAAATCTACCTGCTTTTGTGGGCAGGGGAGTGCAGGAGGGGGACGGGGGCATTGATGGGCACATCCTGTAGTCAGTACGGTTCAGCGTGAACAAGCCCATCTCCTTATAGGAGTCGGGGGGGGTGTCCTGCACAACCCATCTGCCATCAGTAGGGCTCAGACCGAACAAGTCTCCCTGTGTATATAGGAAGGGGGAGACCCTGCCACATCCTGTCATCAGTAGGGCTCAGAGTGAACAGGCCTGTGTGCTCCTATAGGCAGGGGAGGCTGGATGGGATTGATTGACAGCTCTTGTCATCAGTAGGGCTCAGAGCGAATGACCCCAAATACTTTTTTTGGGGGGTGGGGTTGATTACCTCACTCCATCTGTAGAGGTCAGAGTGAACACCCCCCATGTGCTTTTATCAAGTGGCCGGGGATTGGTGGCCGTGCCCCCCCATCAGCCATCAGTAGGGTTCAGAGTGAATTTGGCCCCATGGGGTGGTGTGGCCTGTGCCTGACCCTCCCTCTGTCCCCCCCCCCAGGCGCAAGGCGGGTACCTCAACAAGCCGCGCAACAGGTGGGCCCCCGGACACCTGGGTTCTCTGGAGGGGGGGTACAGCTAGTGTGCGGTGGTGGGCTAATCAGAGCTGGGGGATGGGGGCCATCAACCCCACTCCTAACAACCCCTCTCCCCACAGGCTGGGCCGTGGCGATCCCCGCGCCATCATTGAGTACCGCGACCTGGACGCCCCGGAAGATGTGGACTTCTTCTGAGTGAGCTAGACCCTGCCCCCCCTTTTTTTTTTTTACGCCCCTTCCTTTTCCCTGGTTT